CAGGACGAAGCCTCATAACGTTGTCCCTTGGCCACCCAGAACCAGGGAGCCTGAAAGGTTTGCGTTTGGCACAAGCGAGGGCAGTCCTACAAGCCCATTGACCTCAAGCATAATCCCCATTTTGCCAACGGGGGAAAATGAGGTAGGTGTTCCGGGTCATCATCAAGATAACAACGCACGACAATCCCAGTTCAAATAACATTTTCTTCCTTTGAAGATGCTTCGGATTTGCCTTCGTTAAAGAAGATTTTTTGGCACGTGAGCTGCTATGGAGTACCTTTTTATAGCAGAAGGTCCAAAAATGAAGAGAAAAAGGAACAGGAAAAAAAAAAATCCAAACTTTCTCAAATTTAAAAGATTATTCGGAAAGTTATCACTGAATTGAAACCAAAACCATTCTCAGCCAAAAAGCCCTAGAACAAAAAGGAACTACGGAGAAAAAGTTAAGAGGTAAGGAGTGGGCTGTTATACGAGTAAAAGCAGCTCTCTGTAAACAGCTCAGCTATTGGAGTGCAGCAAGAGAAAGTTAAATATTAAAAAGCACTGGGATGTTAAACATTAAACCTATCCCAACAGCTTCTCAAAGTTAACTACCTACATGTTTCTTTTCAAATGAAAGAAAGAGTATGAGTCTTAACAGTCCATTACAGAAAACCAAGCACGCAGAGAGAGGGGGATGTTTTCAGCTGACCAAAAGAGAGCTCCAAACCCTGCCCCCCTCCAACACACCTTTTTAAAATAAATATTCTTCCAGTCACCCAGAGAGTCAAATTGAACCTCCGTTAACCAACCCGCGCACATCTCCGTCTGAGATGTGTCCAAAACCAGAACCTCAAGTAGTGCAGTGTCATCACAGCGGACAGTCCCACTCTTAATAAAAAATGAGCAGTTAAAGACAGAAATAAGCACACAGGATCTATTTTAAACATTGGAGTACAGGACAGTTCAAGAAGCAGATTGCTGCGTTACCTGATTTACAAAGACAGTTCTGCGCTGCCTATTCAAAGTCCCATTGACAGGTGAAAATGTGTTTGCCTTAGCTGTTATTAAACACAGTTTTATAGATAAAACGTGCTGTCCAACCTTCACAGGCTTGCAAACATTTCAGCTAAAACAAATACAGAACCAAGCGCTAGGAAGCTAGGGGCACGACCAAAGGCCTTGTAAGTGAAGCATTTTATCAAGCCTAGGAGGGCCTATGAAGAATAACTAACAAAAAGCACTTACAGTTAAGTCTGAAGTTGAAAAAGAAGAAAAAAAACATTCTGATATAAATCAAATATTCTCCTATATGCCTTACGGGATGGTTCGATAATAAGATACCCATATCCCAACCAAGTCTTAGGTGTATCTGCTATATGCCACTGGCATATAGCAAAAAGGACAAACATACAAAAAAGAAATACAAGCACAAAGGTAGCATAAATTCAAAATGGGGGAAAGAGTAAAGTTTTATTTTTATCTCTAAGACATTTTTTGAAGCAACAACATGAAACCCCCAAAACATTTTCTCCAAGATTTAATATCAGTCCACATACAGCATGTTTTCCAGGCATCAATAAGTGCTACAAAACGTAGGAAACAAACCAGCTGAACTACGTATAACAGCAAGAACTCAGAAGATCAAGGTACCACAGATACAGGAAGATTTTAAAGGTGGCATAACAGATGAGATGAAAACAAGACCACATTCTTCAAATTAAAAGTGCAAGTTTACTCCTAAACCCTTTAACATGACAATGGCAAACTCTGTACCTAACCTAGTAGTACTGCGTGCTGTACTCTACATATTCTGTAGGTAATAGAAAATACTTGTCCATAGTCCTTTAGGAGCACTACAGGAAGTCAGGTCTGCAAGGTGACTTCAAGCAACAAACCGCAGTTTAAGATTAGGAGGCAACTGCTGCTCAGCAATCCACGTGGGCTGTAAGAGACAGGAAAGCAGCAGGACTTTATGTGAAAAGCCTTGAAATAGTGAACTATTACACTGCCTCAGAAGAGGCTCCGATATCAGGCATTGCAAAAACTTTGGATTTACGTTCTTAAGTTTCTCCTGGCGCAGATCTTGTTACAAATTGCTGAGGTAGCGTACACTTTATGATTGTTATTTTGTGTTGCAATGGCTTAGTAAGCAGTAAGATTTGGCTTTTAAGTAAGGGCTCCTATTTAAACCAAGTGATTAAACTGAAAAATTGCATGCACGTACGCAAAGAAAGGCTTTTTCACTTACTTCGTACAGTTTCTTGAACGACTACACTCTTGGTTATCCAAGAACTGGAGCATTTCAAAGAGTACAAAAATGTTATATCCACAGATAAAAGCGAGGAAAGATGCATAAACAGTATGATGTTGCTGTAACATCCATCAGAGTTACTAGGCTACTTACACACAGAGCAAAGGAGGTATAAAGGAGGAGTCAATGGGCTACGCAAATTTGTGAAACACTTTTCAGAAGCAACTTTTTGTTTGTATAACAGGTTTTATCAAACACAGAAGGCTTTTGCTTCAGCTTTCGTATTCAAGGGTTGGGAAAAAGGTTTTTAAAAGCCTTGCTCAAAAGCTATATATTCCAACTCCTTCTCAAAACAAAATTTCACATTTAAGTACGCAAATAATATTTTGAATAGACGTCTTTTTAAAAACTTACATGGTAACAGAACTCTTATGTAAGACATATCATCTTATTTAGAGGAGTCAGTAGTAAGATTTAGGTATAACACTCTTACTAGCACTTTGCCATCCGCTTGCTGAAAGAACTGCTTTAAGTGAGACTTCACAGTTACAGAAGACTGCTATAAAAACCTGAAAAGACTGAAGATTAACTTTTGAATCTTCATTCTGTGAATGTTGTTATAAATTCAAAAAAAGATATTAACACTAACATACTCAATTTTTTATAGAAAGTCATTTATAAACTACAGCAAGGCCCACAGGCTTTCTAGTGATAATATCGCAATATTGATAACGTCAGTCACAAAGAGATTTACCTGAGGATAAAGTGATTCAGGTCTAACTGTTTTCATAACATGAAGTATATGCTATAAAAGAGCAAAGGCACATTCTCCTTCACGCAAATTACATTTCTTAACACTCTTACGCACTACAACTGAGCAACCAACAACGTTCAGTTAAAAATATATCCTTTATTGAACGTCAGTACTGTACCAGTACCCGTTTGCAAGATTCAGCCCAAGTAACGGTGTGCAAGCCAGCACAGGCTGTCTGAAAAAAAAGAAAAAAGAAAAAAAAAAAAACTTACAAACCACGTGTCTTTCACCTTACGCATCGGGGGATACAATTTGCAAATACCGATTTCCACATCGGCGTTTGCTGCTAAACTTGAGCGCCGTTTCATATTCTTCTGGGAGGCTTGGTGGGGCCTCCAAGCACCGCGCCAACAGACCCCCATCCTTTCCGGCGCCTGCGCCCAAAACAGCACGGCGCGCCCAGCGCCGAGACCGACGACGCACAGCCGAACAGGCTACCGGCCACACCAGCTCCAGCCGCCGCACGGGAACGCC